CAGAAAATGAAATTACATGGTAAGGATACCCAGCATGACTGTGTTTGACTGACCATAAAAGATACAAATTGGTATCATCATAGATGTAATAAAGCTGCAGAGATACTAATCTAATCGGGGACACAGACAGCAACAACAACTTGACAGGAGTTCTAATCAGGGGCGGACTGACAACTCATGGGGCCCCCGGGCAATAGGGGATCATGGGGCCCCTGTGTCCTCGCCTGCACCCAAAAAAGCCTATGAAAAAGCCAATGAAAGGTACCAGGGGCATCTCATGGGGCCCCTTACTGAGCCCAGGCCCTTGGGCAGTGCCCGAGTGCTTGAATGGTCAGTCCTGTTTCTAATCCATCTCCACTGGGTCCAAACTAAAAATAAAAAAATAACTTTTGCCTTTAGTTATAATTCAAGTAAATCAAGCCCAATGATTCTGTTTTTCCATACTTAGGTTTCTATGCATTACTGTTGAGAGAACTGACCCAAAAAGGTAGAGACTTCTCCAAATTGGATATTGTATTTTTACATTATTTAAATGCCACATTGCTGGACCACTACTTATTTACCACATGTATTTATTTATTTATTTCATTTTGTGAATTGACTTCAACACCCTTTATGCACTATTTACCCAGCATTTTGCGGTACATACCATGAAATGGGATAATGGAATGACACTTTCAGGATATTTAGGGACAATGTGTCCCTTATGCTGAAAGCTGGATCCTGGAGATTCTGGATAAGGATACCCATGCCTCTATCTGGACTGCAATGCCTAATGGCTTTGGGTCTTCAGGCAGAACAGCAGTACAGGTCACCCAGTGGGGACACACCCTGTTCTTCCTCTTCCATTGAGAAAAGCTCTTTCTTTGATTACACTCCTGCTAACACATTCTGTGAATCTTGTGACCGATCCCTCTTCCTCCATTCACAGATCATGTTACAGGTAGTATAACATTTCTCAATGGAGGCGAGGAATGTCCCTGTATGGCCCCCTGTACTGCTGTTCTAGATTTTTAAATTTATTTTTTGGAGGTGATCAGCGACTTATAGTGGGACAGCAATAGTGAGGAGAGCAGTCTGACACTAACTGACACTGGGTGGGAAGTGACTAACTGACACGGTCCCTGTATGGCCCCCTGTACTGCTGTTCTCTCTAAAGACCCAAAGCTGGTAACCATTGCATCATCAAAAATTCAGAGACAGGAAGAGCTTTTTGCACAAAGTGTGACCTACTTCATTACAGATAAGTGACATGACTAAAGCTGTAGGGATCTTTTAACCACTTCAGCTCTGGAAGGTTTTACCCCCTTCACGACCAGGCCACTTTTTGCTATTTAGCACTGCACTACTTTAGCTAGTATGTACGCAATCATGCAATGCTGTACCCAAACTAAATTTATATTTTTTTTTTCAGACAAATAGAGCTTTCATTTGGAGGTATTTGATCACAACTGTTTTTTTTTTATTTCTTATTATATAACTGAAAAACGACCGAAAATTTGGAAAAAAAAATATTTTTTACTTCCAGCTATAAAACATATCTAATAATAATAATAATAATAATAATAATAATAATAATAAATATTCATAAATTTGTAGGTCAAAATGTATTCTACTATATGTCTTTTAAAAAAATCCCAATAAGTGTATATTGATGTATGGTTTATGTGAAAGTTACAGTGTCTACAAACTATGGTGTATATATATTTGACTGACTTCTCTATCACATCGAACAACGCTACCATCAAACCCACCCCGCAGGCCAAAGTACTTGGTATCATTCTGGACTCCAACCTATCCTTCCAGCCCCAAGTCCAATCTTTAACAAACTCGTGCAGACTCCACCTCCGCAACATCGCCAAAATCCGCACGTTCCTAACCCCAGAAACCACTAAACAGCTCATCCACTCCCTCATATCACGACTCGACTACTGCAACTCCCTCCTCACTGGCCTGCCTCGCCGCTGGCTATCCCCGCTTCAGTCCATCCTGAATACGGCTGCCAGACTCATTCACCTTTCCAACCGCTCCATCTCCGCCACCCCCCTCTGCCAATCCCTCCACTGGCTTCCGATTGCGCAACGGATCAAATTCAAAATCCTAACACTGACGTACAAAGCTGTCCACCATACTGCCCCGAACTACATCACTGACCTAATATCCAAGTACCACCCAACACGCACACTCCGCTCCTCACAAGACCTCCTTCTCTCTAGTTCCCTGGTCTCCTCCTCCCATGCCCACCTCCAGGACTTCTCCAGGGTGTCACCCATCCTCTGGAACTCCCTGCCCCAACCCATCAGATTATCACCTACTCTCCTCTCCTTTAGGTGCACCCTGAAAACCCATCTCATCAGGGAAGCCTACCCCACCCCCTGCTAACTTGCCGACCTCCTCCACTCTTCCTCCCACTCCATCCCCCACAGCTATCTCCTCCTGTACCACCATCCCCTCCCTCCTAAATTGTAAGCTCAAAAGAGCAGGGCCCTCGATCCCCTCATGTTTTGCATTGTATTGGTATTGTTCTGTCACATGTTCTGTCCCCCTTTGTAATGTACAGCACTGAGCGAACCATTGGTGCTTTATTTATACTGTATAATAATAATATACTAGATTTTTTTATTAATTTTTTGGAGGTGATCAGCGACAGCAATAGTGAGGAGAGAAGTCTGGCACTAACTGACACTGGGTGGGAAATGACTAACTGACACTGACATCATATGTATCTCTAATACAGTGATTAGTGCTAATACTGTTCACTCTCACTGTATTTATGACACTGGCTGGGAAGGGGTTAACATCTTGAAGTAATCAAGGGGTTAACTGCATGCCTAACAAGTGTTAATGTGTGTACTATGTGCTGTTTTTTACAAAAAAAAATGTTTCTTTCTACCTGATTTGTAGGGAGAAGAAACAGGGAGATTGTTCCCTCTGTACAGAGCCCTGTGTGTTTAGTAACACAGAGCTCTGGGCTGTGACTGGATACACAGGTCAGCAGGTCTCAGCCATTAATCATTGAGAGCTGGTACAACCCCGCTGTGTCTAATCACAGTAGGGGGGGGTAGGGGAGGACTGACCATTTGAAAACTCAGGCACTGCCCGAGGGCCTGGGGTCAGTAGGGGGCCCCATGAGATGCCCCTGGTACCTTTTTAATAGGCTTTTTTGAGTTTGGGCAAGGACACAGGGACCCCATGATCCCCTATTGCCCGGGGGCCCCATGAGTTGTCAGTCCGTGCCTGTCTGGAAGAGGCCAGTGATATGCAGATACATTGCTGTGAATGTAGGAGCCGCCCCTCCACAGTACAATGAGGGTGGGCTGTCTTGAAGTGGTTAAGCTAAACTTCAGTTCTAACCCTAGGTCCACGCCTAAGCGTTTTCCGCAGCATTTCGCAGAAACGCACTGCAGTCCATTTAACATGATTTCCTATGGGACACGCTCACATCTGCACGTTTTCACCCGGTACGTTTCTGCAAAATGCACTACAGTCCATTTAACATGATTTCCTATGGGACACGTTCATATCTCCTCGTTTTCACCCGCTGCGTTTTTTGGAAAGGATCAGGGAGTTTCTTGAATGCAAAAACTTGCGTTTTTGGTTCTATAGACTTCAATGGAAACACTACAGAAAAGCAAAAGTGCATTTTTGTCGTGTTTTTGATGCATTTTTGATGTATTTTTTTGAAATCTGCCTAGCAACAAGAAAGGAAAGAAAAACTCAGCAAAACATATTAAAAAATGTGGCTAAAACGTAGCAAAAATGCAGGTGCAAAAATGCAAAACGCAATGTGGAAACGGCTCAAACGCAACCTGCATAGATGTGAACCTAGCCTTAGCAATCTATTTTTATTTGCGTTTCAAAAAAAAATATCCTTTTTTTTCTTAGGTCCCAGGATACCTTTACAAAATTAGGTTGCATGAATGCAGAGCAAAATGGTTTATCCTCTACAGAATCAATTATCCCTGATCAAGATACACATGCAATATATATATATAAGGGCTTGCAAAATAATTTATTCTATGTTGAACTGGGTTTATCCTCCTCCGCAGCTCTATTACAGACCCACTGCTGAAAATGCTTGCGGAACTAGGCAGAATTGCTTATGTTAAAGGTTCTTCTGCAATTTTTTCTTTCTTTTATTACTTATGGGTTTTTTTTACACTTAAAACAAAGAAATTTGTGTTCTTAACTATATTTCTGCAACCATTTTTGTCATTTTTTCCAAAAAGGATTATATTAGTAAAATTCTAACCAGTTATGGATTTTTATCAGGGACTGATGATAAACAGTGTAAGTGTACTTTTTTTTTTAATAATGAATTTCTGTTTCTTCTTTTTGTCCTAATGTTAAAGTTTAACTACAGAGATTTTTTTTTTTCAATAAATCACTATTTTTTCTAGTCATATTCATTCATTCAAAGTCATACTATTTACAGTAAGTTATTCAGTCAGCTGTTCCAGTGGCTTCCATCAATCTCTTCTACATTTAACACTTGTTGGGTTATCAGTTGCCCTCAATTTTATTATTATTATTATACAGGATTTATATATTATTATTATTATTATACAGGATTTATATATTATTATTATTATACAGGATTTATATATTATTATTATTATACAGGATTTATATGTTGTTATTATTATTATTATTATTATACAGGATTTATATATTAATATTATTATACAGGATTTATATGTTGTTATTATTATTATTATTATTATGCAGGATTTATATAATATTATTATACAGGATTTATATATTATTATTATACAGGATTTATATAATATTATTATACATTTATTTATATTATTATTATTATACAGGATTTATATAATAATATATTATACAGGATTTATATAATATTATTATACAGGATTTATATATTATTATTATACAGGATTTATATAATATTATTATACAGGATTTATATATTATTATTATACAGGATTGATATATTATTATTATTATACAGGATTTATATATTATTATTATTACAGGATTTATATATTATTAGTATACAGGCTTTATATATTATTATTATACAGGATTTATATATTATTATTATACAGGCTTTATATAATATTATTATACAGGATTTATATATATTATTATTATACAGGATTTATATATTATTATTATTATACAGGATTTTATATATTATTATTATACAGGATTTATATATTATTATAATACAGGATTTATATATTATTATTATTATATACAGGATTTATATATTATTATTATACAGGATTTATATATTATTATAATACAGGATTTATATATTATTATTATTATTATACAGGATTTATATAGTGCCAACATTTTGCTCAGCACTTTACAATATAACGGGAGACAATACAGCAACAATACAGTTCAATACAAGAGGGAAAGGAGGGCCCTGATCCTGGGAGCTTACAATCTAGGAGGGAGGGGCTAGTAGTACAAAAGGTAGTAACTGTGGAGGATGGACTGGTTGGAAGAGTAGAAGATTCTATTATTAGCTGAGGGCAGGATAGGCTTCCTTGAAGATATAGGTATTCTCTGACCCCCTATGTTATTACAGGGTTCAGCAGTGATGGAGTGGTCAGAGGAAGGAACTATGGCACATTTAGCAGGACACACTATATTCATCAGCCACTTTATTTGGTACACCTGTTCAATTGCTTGGTAACACAAATTGCTAATCAGCCAATCACACGGCAGCAACTCAATAATGTCCACGTGACAAATACGACTTGCAAGGATCAACCGAGCATCAGAATAGGGAAGGAAGGGGATTTAAGTGACTTTGAATGTGGCATGGTTGTTGGTGCCAGATGGGCAGGTCTGAGTATTTCAAATACTGCTGATCTACTACTTTTAGATACACAGAATATAACTGGATATAACATTTATAGGTAAAGTTGATCCACAGAATATCCAATTGTCTCTCAGGGGATCAGGAAGGAATTTTATTCCCAGCAGGTGCAAATTGGATCATGCTTTGCTGGGTTTTTTTGCCTTCCTCTGGATCAACTGTGGGTGTTGGATTATAACTATTTTTTTCTATGATTGAACTGGATGGACTTTTGTCTTTTTTCAGCCAGACTAACTATGTAACTATGTACTGGGATTTTCACACACAACCATCTCTAGGGTTTACAGAGAATGGTCCGAATATGAGAAAATATCCAGTGAGCAGCATTCATGTGAGCAAAAATGCCTTGTTGATGTCAGAGGTCAGAGGAGAATGAGCAGACTGGTTGTGCGACATTCAGATGGTAGGGTCAGAATTTGGTGTAAATAACATGAAAGCATGGATCCATCCTGCCTTGTATCAACGGTTCAGTCTGGTGGTGGTGGTGTCATGGTGTGGTGGATCCATCCTGCCTTGTATTAATGGTTCAGGCTGGTGGTGTAATGGTGTGGCGGAGCTTTTCTTGGCACCAGCAAAGTGTACCTAATAAAGTGGCCAGTGAGTGTATACCTACAAGATTTGAATCTCAATGAGTCTAATGGATCCTGCAGCATTAGAACAGATAGACAACAAGGAGGTAAGAGCAACATAATAAATTGGGATGCATATGAGGCATAATTTCGGACCCACATTTCAGTGAACAATAGCTGTAAACAAAGACAACCTCTACAGGTGGGGAAGATGCCATTAAAATTTGTTTACTGAAATGTCTACAGCTGGAGCAATAAGGGGAATTGCTTGGACTAACATTAACACCATATCATTAGTTAGCATAATTCCAAAGACAAAAGGAAGATGAGGAAAAGGTAGGGGTAAGGAAGCAAGAGGAGGGGGGAGAAGAACAGAAAGAATCCCCAGGGAGTGGTGTGCACATGAGTTTCAGGTTGGCAAGGTATACTAGTGACTCAGGGGTGTAGATAATGTGATAATAAGAACTCATCAAAATGAGGTGGGGGAAAATAATTCACGCAGGGTTGCCATAATTTTTTTTATATTTACATAATCTGCCTAGGTGGACAGCTTCAATTTTGGCATGGATGATAGACTGAGTGATCCTGTTTTTAGTTTCCATTGTGGGTATTGCGGGTTCTAGGCCTTCGCAATAATTTGCTTAGCAGCAGTAGTCACCTCCAGAAATAGTTTGAACTATGGAACTCAAATCTGGTGGGCGTATGTTGAGTAGAGCCATGAGAGGGTCAGGGAAGAGGGCAATTGAAAAAAGTTTGGTAAGTATATGAAATTTGTCAGACTAACATTGTTGCACCGTGGGGCATTGCCATCACACGTGAAGATGCATACTGGTAGCTCCATACCCACGGAAACATGGAGAGCAATTAGGAGCAAACTTAGCTATCCTGGCAGGGACCAAATACCAATGGGTGAAGACTTATAGTTGGTCTGTAACGCTACAATGGTTTGCACAGATTATTTGGTGGCACACATTTTTAATCTGTTACTATTTACTCCTAAAAGATGACCCTATGAAGTTGATTTACTAAAACGAGAGTGCGAAATCTGGTGCAGCTCAGCATAGACACCAATCGGCTTCCAGTTTTGTTTTTTTTGTTTTTTTTTTTGTTTGTTTTTTTAATCAAAGCTCGAACAAGCTGAAGATAGACACTGATTGGCTACCATGAACAGCTGCTCCAGATTTTGAAAGCGCCAGTTTTAGTAAATCAACTCTACAGACTGCCAGAAAGATGAATCTAAGAGTTCTTCCTTTGCAGGACTTTCATCTTAATTTCTTCTGCAAGCAGACGAGGTCGCTATACAATTGATTTTAAGAGATTGCCTTAATGCTAAAGCGGTTTTTTTAATAATCCTACATTTTATACATATGTTTTGATAATAATATTGTAGGGTATTCCAATTTTAAAATAACATCCTACACTTTTCATTTATACTTAGGGGTCTATTTATAAAAAAACAAATCACTGGCTCATCACTTGTGCAAACATCACAAATAATACCCATATTGGTTGCAATATGTAATAGTTTTTTTGCCTTTCATTGGACGAATGCAATGTCCCCCTCAGTCCTAAGAGAAAAAGAGCCATAAGAACATTCAGCCATGAGAGTCAACATTTACCAATAGAGAAAATAGCCAACACTATAGGCTAAGAACATTCGACCAGCAGGGAAAAATAATATGAGCGAGACCTAAGCACAGCGTAAAGTCTGTGAAGAATCCTATGCAAATGGCTTTAGGTCTGGTTTGGATTTTATTGGAGCCCCAGGAAAAAAAAACAGTGTGAATTCCCCTCACCCCCTCAAATTCCAGAACAGTCTGGTAGGAAATTTAAGCAGGTACCCCAATGCAAAAAAATCAAGGAAAAAAAAAATATGTGGTCCCATCAAATTACATACCAGGCCCTTGCCTGAGTATTCAACCTGGATGGCAAGGAAATGCATGCACCCTTCCTTCCTAAACATACCAGGTCACAGTCTCTCAACACAGGTTGTACCTTGCAAGGGGGACCCCCTGGTGAGCTGCTTGTTCCCATGTTGATGCGGACTAAGGCCTGTTCCTCAAAATGCTGTATGTAGGGTCTGTGGATGAAAGGCTTACCAGAATCTGGAATCCTCTTAACCATCGCAATACTGCTGTATGTACATATAAGTCCTTGTATTGAGGTGGTTATACCAGGATCAAAACTACAGCTACAGTCATGATCCTGATATTGTTTTTTACTGCTGGTGGTTCTCTACAATGAAAAGTAATCCTAGAGGCTAAATAGCCACTGGATTTCTTTTGCCGGCAGCAGGGTATCCCCTCCATCACTGGTGCCACCTTTACCGGGCTCTCCAGAGCTCACTATATTTTTAAAGCATGCCATGTCTGGCATCTATTTACGTGACGTATCATCATCTTTTATATTTTACCAAACATTGTGTATTATATTATGTTGGTGTGCATTAAAATGCAATAGAGCATATCCCTCCCCCACAAAAAACAAACAAACCTGTTGTTCAAATACCGTGCGATGTAAAAAATTGCAACAACCACCTTTTTATTCTCCAGGGCCTCTGTATATAGTAACCTTACTTATTTAGGCTCCATTCACATCTGAGCGTAGCTTTTCTTGTGCATTTTTTTGTGTGTTTTGTCATGCAGTTTTATACGAGTTTGCAAACGTTTGTGCTCGATTTGTTCAGGTATTTCAGGCTTTTTGAGTTGTGGCATTTTGTATTAGCCAATAGAGAAAAATTGAATCCGTGACATCATTTGTTGCCATGTTTTGCCATGCCAGAAAAATGCTCTTGGTTGCACAACAAAATGCGCAAAAGAGCATTAACCGTTTCAATACCGTGCAATTTTACACCTTCCTGCCCAGGCCATTTTTCAGGTTTCAGCGCTCTCACACTTTGAATGACAATTGCGCGGTCATACAACACTGTACTCAAACTAAAATTTTATAATTTTCTTCACACACAACTAGAGCTTTCTTTTGGTGGTATTTAATCACCGCTGGGGTTTTTATTTTTTGCTAAATTAACAAAAAAAGACCAAAAATTTTGAAAAAAAAAAAACACATTTTTCTTTGTTTCTGTTATAAAAGTTTACAAATAAATAATTGTTCTTCATAAATTTAGGCCGAGATGTATTCTGCTACATGTCTTTGGTGAAAATAACCCAAATTAGGATGTATTATTTAGTTTGTAGGAAAGTTATAGAGTTCACAAACTATGGTATAGATCTGAATATTGATCAATCCTGAAGTACTGACAGCCAATCTAATTTCTTGAGGTCCAAGAATGTCAGAACAGTACAGATATCCCCCAAATGTCAGGACAGTACAGATATCCCCCAAATGTCAGGACAGTACAGATATCCCCCAAATGTCAGGACAGTACAGATATCCCCCAAATGTCAGGACAGGACAGATATCCCCCAAATGTCAGAACAGTACAGATATCCCCCAAATGTCAGGACAGTACAGATATCCCCCCAATGTCAGAACAGTACAGATATCCCCCAAATGTCAGGACAGTACAGATATCCCCCAAATGTCAGGACAGTACAGATATCCCCCCAATGTCAGAACAGTACAGATATCCCCCAAATGTCAGAACAGTACAGATATCCCCCAAATGTCAGGACAGTACAGATATCCCCCCAATGTCAGAACAGTACAGATATCCCCCAAATGTCAGGACAGTACAGATATCCCCCCAAATGTCAGGACGGTACAGATATCCCCCCAATGTCAGAACAGTACAGATATCCCCCAAATGTCAGGACAGTACAGATATCCCCAAATGACCCCTTTTTGCAGAGTAGACAGTCCGACGTACTTCATAAGAGGCATGGCGAGTTTTTTGAAGTTCTATTTTTTTGTCATAATTTTTCCGAAAATGAAAAAATGAAAAAAATTATTTTCACTATTTTTTTTTTTTACATACTGTCACCAGTGCAGTACAGCATCATCATATAACTGGCATGGCGGTGAACAGGGACACTGACTGGTGACAGTATGAAAAAAAATATATATATTTTTTTTTTTTTATTTTTTTTTATTTTTTTTATTATATTTAATTTTTTATTACATTTTTTTTTATTTTTTTTAAGATTTTTTTTCATATTTTACTATGACCAAAATAGTACAATGTTACCATAGTAACATTGTACTACTGTGGGGAAGTGATCAGTATTTTTTTTTTTTTTTTTTTTACACAATTTGCTTATAGCAAAGAATTACTTTGCTATAAGCAAGCATTTACCTGAATGAAATCGATTCATTCAGCTTTTTTTTTTTTTTTTTTTTTTTTTTTTTTTGTGCTTAGCTGTGATTTGGTCACAGCTAATCACATGACATGTGCATGTGATTAGCTGTGACCATTCACAGCTAGGCACTAGTATACAATGGATGGCATCATGAATGAAGCCACCCATGTATACAACTGTCATGTGACCTGCTGTGATTGGTCACAGCAGGTCACATGGTACCAGCGACGGGAGCCGGTACTCGGATCTGTCATCGGCCGTGTCCGAGGTGCACGGCCCGTGACAGATCCCGCTGCTGCGCCGCTCTGCACTAGCGCAAACGGCGCATGTGCGGGAGCACGCCAAATGGCGTGCACCCGGAATGCAGATACACATCTGAAGCCGCCAAACGGCCATTGGCCGGGCGGCTAATGGTTAAAATGCCCGATTTGCAAGTTTCTATGTATTTCTATGGGGATATAAAACGCACCAAAAAACACATGAAACTGCTATAATTGAGCTACAAAAGTAGCTTTAAAACTTTTTTGAGCTTCAGGAGTTTCGCTTCAGGTGACTTGAATGGCACCTAATACAAAAAGTCAATAGTAAATAAACACAAACACTTTTTGACAAGTTTGTTAATTAAAAAAAAAGTCCTGGGATTTATCGTTATCTTGATTGTCAGTAAAGAAAAATAAAAACTTTGAGTTGTCATTGGTTCAAGTATAGAGGTAACATTTCCAATGAGTGCATTTGTTCCAGTGACAGGAGTGGTCTAGCCTTAATTACAACAAATGTCCTCTCAATTCCTCTTGTGTTTGAGGGAAAACATTTTTGCTTTAGATGTACTTTAACCCCTCGCCCTCCAGAGGATTTACCCCCCTTAATGACCACGCCTCTTTTTGCTACTCGGCGCTGCACGAATTCAACTGATAATTGCGCGGTCATGCAATGCTGCACCCAAACGAAATTTATGTCCTTTTTTTCACACAAATAGAGCTTTCTTTTGTTGGTATTTGATCACATGTGCGCTTTTTATTTTTCACGCTATAAACAAAAAAGGCCAAAAATTTTGAAGAAAAACAATATTTTTTTTTTACTTTCAGCTATAAAAAATATATAGTAAACTCAAAGTTGGTTATAAATTTAGGCCACAATGTATTCTGCTCCATGTTTTTGGTAAAAAAATCCCAATAAGTGTATATTGATTGCTTTGTGTGAAAGTTATAGCGTCTACAAACTATGGTATAGATACTGCAATTTACGCCATTTTTCTGCTATACAGCGCTGCGCTAGTTTAACGGACAATTTCGCGGTCATGCAATACGGTACATAAATGAAATTTATGTCCTTTTTTTCCCCACAAATTGAGCTTTCTTTTGGTGGTATTTGATCGCCTGTGCGTTTTTTATTTTTTGCGCTATAAAAAAAAAGGCTGACAATTTTGAGGAAAAAAAAAACAATATTTTGGGACTTTTTGCTATAAAACATGTCCAGTAAAAAAAAAATGCAAAAATCAAATTTAGCCATAAATTTCTGCCAAAATGTATTCTGCGACATGTCTTTGCTACAAAAAACCCAATACATGTAAATTAATTGGTTTACGTGAAAGTTATAGCGTTTACAAATGGCGGGAAAGATACTGGGATTTTTAGGGTTTTTTTTATACTAATAATGGCGGCGATCAGCGAATTATGGCGGTGATCAGGGACTTATGGCAGCGCCCAGCGACTTATGGCGGGACTGCGGGACTGCAGCGGACATTCTGACATTGAGGGGTACTGACTTGGGGTCACTGACATCCCCAAAACACTAATACAGTGATCAGTGCAAAAAAAAAAAACACTGACACTGTACTAATGGCACTGGGGAGGAAGGGGTTAACTTTATTTTGCAGGGAAGGGTTATAGGAGTGAGGGGGAGTGTTTTACTAGGGGGCGGGGTGTGTACTGGGCGGGAAAAGGCTGATCGAGAGAGAGAAACTGTTCTTTCTCGATCAGCTCATCCTCGAGAAGTGACAGACAGCACAGCTACTGCAGCTGTGCTGTCTGTCACTGTTTACCGCCGATCGCCGGGAAACAGCCGTTAAGGACTGGCTGTGACCCGGCAACTGACATCGCCTCGCGTGCGCCCCCTATTTGTTTACAAAACACACATTTTAAAAACATGGTTTTGCCTGCGAGTGCCGCCCTGCCGCCATATATCTACAGTGGCTGGGCGGCATGTAGTTAACAAAGAAACAGTTCAAGCAATCCTTTGTTTCTTCTTTTGTTTTGATGTCTGAGATTTCACTATAGTCCTCATATACAGTGAAGGAAATGCGTATTTGCTCCCCTGCTGATGTTGAATGTTCGCCCCTCACAAAGAAATGATCGGTCTAAAAATCGAATGTTCGGTGTATTGTAACACTGAGAGACAGAACAGCAACAACAAATTCAGCAGAAATGCATGTCTAACAAATGATGACTGATTTGCATGTTCATGAGGGAAATAAGTATTTGATCCCCTTCACAAAACATGACTTAGTACTTGGTGGCAAATCCCTTGTTGGCAATCACAGAGGTCAGACGTTTCCTGGAGTTGGCCCCCAGGTTCGGACACATCTCAGGAGGGATTTTGGCCCACTCCTCTTGGCAGATCCTCTCCAAGTCATTAAGGTTTGGCGGCTGACGTTTGGAAACTCGAACTTTCCCTCCACAGATTTTCAATCGGATTAAGGTCTGGAGACTGGCTAGGCCACTCCAGGACCTTAACCTCCTTGGCGGTATGATTCTTTCCAATTTTTTTGTGCTGAAAGCGGTACATTTTTTTGCATGGAAATATGTAGTTTTTTATTGTAGGCCTGTAATTTTTAGGAATAACTCACTGAAATCTGTCCGAACAAGAGTCTAGTAAACATCCCGGGTATGATAAAATTTGAAACATAAAATCATAAATTATAATGTATTAAATAATCATAAAAAATAATAATATAATAATAATAAATTTAATTCAATAATATAATCAAACCAAAAACACTGAAATTTGAAATACAGAGGCAAATTCGCTGAGCAAAGTCGCAAAATTGTTTTCAGTGTCTGATGACGAATTTCCCCCACGAATCATTATCACTCAATTCTGCAAGTGGTTCTGATTTACTATCGCTGTTCTCTAGCCGGTCTAAAACCACTTTTGACGTAAAGGGACGCTTTTTGGACGCCATGGACTTTTCTAAGTTTCCAGGCAGAAAGAACATTCAAAATGCAGGCAGGGCACAGGACAAAGCAGTAGGGACAAAATGTATGTGAAATGCATTGAAACAGCAATGACAGCAAAAATGACATTTTAAAAAAATTTCAAATTTCCCGCCGGACGTCCCGACGTCACAGGGACCGGAACACAGAAGCCGGAGGCCGGCATCGGCCGGAGGAGATGGCCGGGGATGCTGCAGGGGACACATTGCGGGAGCGAAGGACAAGGTAAGTGCTGCAGGGACCCCCAGAGCAACACCGCATGGTAAGCCCGAGTGTAGCTCGGGGTTACCGCTCTTGGTATAGAAATTTTACCCCGAGCTACACTCGGGAATACCGCTAAGGAGGTTAATGTGCTTCTTCTTGAGCCACTCCTTTGTTGCCTTGGTCGTGTGTTTTGGGTCATTGTCATGCTGGAATACCCATCCATGACCCATTTTCAATGCCCTGACTGAGAGAAGAAGGTTCTCACCCAAGATTTGATGGTACATTGCCCCGTCCATCAGCTTTTTAATTTTTTGTTGCTATTCTGTCTCTCAGTGTTACAATACATCTACCATTCGATGTTTAGACCGATCATTTCTTTGTGAGTGGGCCAACATTCAAAATCAGCAGGGGAGCAAATACGCATTTCCTTCACTGTATCATTACAGTATATCAGACGCTATGAATAATATTTCTGTACATGTAATGTAATATTATGTGTTTATTCTATCACACAGTCAATATACAACAGTGATGTCACCACAATCTTTTTTGTGGGATTCCAAAACCATGAAATAATAAATGTATTGCTCTTCCCATTTTTCCTTATTATATACTGTGTGACGATATGTGGAAACCTCTTGATCATTGCACTGGTGTCCTACTCTAAGGGTCTCCACTCTCCAATGTACTTCTTCCTCTCCCAACTTTCTATAAGTGACATCATGTTGTCCACAGATGTTTCTCCTAACATGTTAAATGTTCTATTACATGAGGGGACCTCCATATCTCTTTCTGGCTGCATGATCCAGTACTATTTCTTTGGTTTATCGGAAACATTTGAATGTTTTCTTTTGACAGTGATGTCCTATGACCGCTATCTAGCCATCTGTTCTCCTCTTCATTATGCCTCCATTATGAACCATGTGCTTTGCGTTAAATTAGTTCTTGTATCTTGGCTGTTCAGCTGCTCTGTAGCATTAATACTTACTCTTAGTATGTACCAGTTACATTTCTGTGGACTAAACACCGTCAACCATTTCTTTTGTGATTTGTATCCTCTTATGGAACTTTCCTGTTCAGACGTATCCATAATTCAAATGGAAGCCACAGTATTGAGCATTCCTGTGTTGGTGGTACCGTTCCTTGTGATAGTAGTTTCATATACATGCATTGCTCTAGCCATACTTAAGATATCCTCCATTTCTGGAAGAGTTAAAACCTTTTCTACTTGTAGCTCCCATCTGACAGTGGTGTCTATATTTTATGGGACTCTAATCACCATGTATATGATTCCAAAAAGAGGACAATCACAAATGATCAGCAAGACTCTGGCTTTATTATACACTGTGTTCACTCCCTTCTTAAATCCTTTCATCTATAGTCTGAGGAATAAAGATATCAAGCAAGCTTTGAGAAATATTTTGTATAATAAAAGGGTTTAGTTTGGTCACAGTAACAGCCACTAGAGGAAGTTCACATGTTCAAGCATGACACATTGTTCTGCCACTGTATCCAAGTGTAGTGCTACCCCCTCGAGGGCTGCTGGATTTGATTAGGTCCCCATAAGCTCTGTACAGCCATGCAACACTCATTTCCACATTTTCTCTCAGTAAAACAATTCTTGGATGGGGCTAGGGGTATATGGCATTCCCAAGGAACTGTAGAGCTTGAGGACAATGTCTTAGCAAACACTGTACAAAATGTAGACCAAAAATCTTTAAGGAGCACAAAGGAGTCCCCTTTGGTGTACCTCCTTAGACCCCATATTAAACTCTCCTCATCTACTCAGCTGTCCTGAGGGTATCCCTGGGCAAGGGATTCTAGGATCCACTGTGAAGCACCCAGATGAGAACTAGTTGGGTAAAACACCTGACCACCCTCTCTCTTCTGTGGGGTGTAGAAGTACTCAAACTGTCCTGTCCTGTATCTTAGTGGTTGGTAATTGCTTTCAGGCCTTCTGCTGGGCTGGCTACTTCCCTGCTGACAGGTTGTCCTTCCAAAGAGGGCAGTAGAGATCCTTCTGTATGCTCCAGACTGTAGGTAGGCTCATCTCTCTCTGATGACCCCTCCCACCTTCTTTCAGTCTATCTTCCACCCAACTCCCCTGCTGCTCAGACTCTTCTACATTTAGGAGTGACTCTTAGCCACCATTCCTGGCCCCCTCTGAGTCTGAGGAATCAGGATATCAAGGAAGCTTTGAGAAATGTTTTGTATAACAAAAAAGTTTAAGTCACAGATATTAGGAAAAAGGTTAGCATTTGCAAGCATAATACAACTGCATGTTGTTCTGAACAGAAATGTACACAATGGAAACATTTGTTTAGTATTAGATTTGTTCGTTAAAGTAGAACTATAGGCAAAACATTTTTTTTTTCATTTTGGATAGAGCAAGGGAGAGTTATAACCCCTGTCAGATTTTTTTTTTTTTTTTCGCCGTCTGTCTTTCCATATATTCAGATTTGTTTCATATACTCATTATTTTCTAATTAACTTGAAATTTTCAATTTTCTATAGTCTTTCTATTTTATTCTATTATATTCAAAATTTAAATTGTGAAATTTGAATTTTGGAAGACGGCTATATTCTTTCTATTTAATTCTATTCTATTAGAAACTCAAATTTTGAACTGTGAATTTTCGAATATGGCTACATTCTTTCTATTTTCTTCTATTATATTCAAAATTCAAATTGTGAAATTTGAATTTTTGAAGGCGGCTATATTCTTTCTATTTAATTCTATTCTATTAGAAATTCAAATTTTGAAATCTGAATTTCCAAAGTTGGCTATATTCTTTTTATTTTTTTTCTGTTCTATTATATTCTGTTCAGTTTTATTCTATTTTTTTCTATTCTGTTTTATTCTTTTTTTATGTTCTATTGTGTTTTAATATATTCTTTTATTTTAGTTTTCATTCTGTATTATTCTCTTCTCTTTTATTCTCTTCTTTTCTTTTCTATTCTATTTTACTCTATTATTTAAAGTAGGAATCATCATTTTATTTCACTATTATACCTTACTGTATTTATTGCAATATGTTTCCATTTTCAAAATTTGAATTCAAATTAATTTTTTAATTAATTTTCGACTTCAGATTTGAATCATTTGTTTTGTTACAAATTATTTCAGATTTCTTGAAATTCATTACTATTGTAATTCTGAAATTCAGATACATCCTAATCTCCAAATTAGAAAAATTTTGTCCGAATTTCCATTCCTAATGAAAAATATTGCACCTGTCTAGTCCTGAAAGTGTATCCAAGAACAGTCGTGATGTGCAATCATTCATATTGAGGATTATGGAATAGGGAGGTGGAAGCACACTCAGACATCTCCAGTGTCGGCTTATCAGGGGTGAAATAATGGTGGTCAAGAAAGATATTCTAACATCTATCATCAATATTCTTTGAGATGAAACGCACCTTGTGAGATCTGTACATAGGTCACCCAGTATGGCTAAAATTGGCTGGATTGGAAAATTGTCATACAATGTCTATCACTGCCTTTTATTTTTAAACATTTTTAATAAAATCGGATCTATAAAAATCAAAACTCGTCTCTTGGTTTATGGTTCTGCTCTTGGTTGAATATAGTTCTTTGTAGCATGTAATATCTCAAAACTATTTAGACGTGATGTCATGACATGCTTCAAACCTTGAGCTCCCTCACCTACTGGACTAGGATAAAACATCTTTTCTTAATACAATTTAAAATTGCTTTTTACTGGTCCTTAGATGTGGTGGCTGCATTGGTCTTCTTTGTAGCTTTTTTCATTTAATTTTCATTTGGTGATCCTGCCAGTAACAGCACACATCCTTGTCCTTGACCACACTCTACAGAAACCTTCCCCTACCCTCTTCTCCATAACATAGAGGGTAGGAGTTCTGTAGTCCTCAGAGATACATGGGGACAGTATAAGAGTGAAACAGGCAGAAAGCACAGGAAATTATAAGATCAAAAGATTATTTATCTAGAACACGGGTGTCAAACTGGCGGCCCTTCAGCTGTTGCCAAAAGTCCCAAGAGGCATTTCAAGACTGACAGTTACACGCATGACTCCCAAAGGAAGAGGCTTGATGGGACTTGTAGTTTGGCAACAGCTGGAGGGCCACCAGTTTGATAGCCCTGATCTAGAGCATCACGTAAGGCAGGTATTCATGGGCCGACTACTGGCTGATATCAGCCAGATCACTTGACCCATGTAAAACAGAAAAAAGAGGAAATAAATCTGTGCTACACCCCAAGCAATATAGGTGTCCGTTTATGAACCAGCAGTAATAGATCGCTGCTCAGTTCTCCGGCATTCTCAGAGAACACAGTTCTCCTGTGAATGCCGTTTATGAAGCATATGTAGATCAGTTCTCCAAACGAAGGGAGAACGGTCTACAAACGCTGGAAAACTGCTGATTTTACTATAATCTCGTGAGATTACAGTAAAGGATCAGTTTACTAAGCAGAGGTAAATTATCTCTGCTTAGTTTTCGGTCCCTCCGATGCTCTAGCTCTGGGCAGGAGAATCTGGAGGGAGCACACAGATCTCCAGAGAAGGGCTGAACATATTCTCCTGGGTGTCATAAACTGTGAATGACCAGAGAATAGCTGTGATCCTCTGAATCTCTCATCTGTCATAAACGGACACCATAGTGTGTAAATAAATGTGTAAAAAAATATATTCTGAAACAATAGTGAAACAATAAGTGTACTGCTGCTACTCTTTTTCCTGAACACCAGAAAATACAAAACATATAAAAAAATAATGCTAAATAATCATAAACAATAATACATCAAATGAATACTGCTACATAAAAATGTGCATAAATTCATAGAAAATAATATAAGTCCACATTCATATATTAAATAATAAGAAAGTCCCAAAATCCAATAACACAGTGCTGTGTGCTAAAGAAATCCTCCAATGGAAAGTGCTACAAATGCTTGACACAAGAAAAAAATCAACCTCTTACCAAGCACTTTGATCTCCAATCAAGAGATCAAACAAGCAGATGGTGTTCAGATCCCACACTGACACCCTAGTTAGCCGTATCAAAGAGATGAATGGGAGATGAGTAAACACATCCAGGTTCACTTGAATGAATCCATCGCATCAGATGACTCTCCACATCATGCAAGGAAAGATTTAAAACAGAAGAAGAAAAACGTCATAGTGCGACCCGATGAACCAGCAAAGAATTTATTAAAGTATTGCACTTACATAGATAAGGTGCATAAAGGCAGAAGGCAATATAAACATTTAACATTCCCGCGGTGTCAGACCACCGGCCAGAATGAGGTGACGTCACAGAAAGCTCCTGCCCGACGCGCATTTATTCAAAAATGGCGTCCTCTGGGACCTCCAAACATTATATATATATATTTTTTTAGCAGAGTCCCTAGAAAAAAAAATAGTAGGTTTTGCTCATTTTCATGTTGCACGATATTTGCGCAGCGGTCTTTTGAACGCAACTTTACTCACTAATCAAAAATACACTTTAATATATTTTAATGCACACAAAAACAATATAAACATCCATTTTTTTGTAAAATAAAAAAATATGGTGTTGGGCCGAGTAAATAGATACCAAACATGTCACGGTTTAAAATTGCACAGGCTTGTAAAATGGCGCCAAACTTCGATATTTAAAAAATTCCATAGGTGACGCTTTATAAGCCTTTCCAGGTTAAAAGTTTAGAGTTACAGAGGAGGTCTGGTGCTAGAAGTATTGCTCCCACTATGATATTCACAATGATATGTCACATGTGTGGAGCACTCACCGTTTACATATGCATGCTGGACCATGCATTCACCTTTGCACGCGAGCACTGGGGGACAGGGGGCACTTTCAATTTTTATATTTATTTATTGGTGGGACACTGATACACTGACAGATGTTTTTGTGCACTTGTACACTGTGACAGATGTTGATGTTGCAATGGAATACTATTGCAGATGTTGATGTGACACTGGTGTACTGTGGCAGATGTTGACATGACACTTGTGTACTGTGACAGATGTTGATGTGATACTGGTGTACTGTGACAGATGTTGATGTGACACTGGTGTACTATGACAGATGTTGATGTGACGCGGGTGTACTGTGACAGATGTTGATGTGACACTGTTGTACTGTGACAGATATTGATGTCACACTGGTACACTGTGTCAGATGTTGATGTGACACTGGTGTAATGTGACATATGTTGATGTGGCACTGGTGTACTGTGACAGATATTGATGTCACACTGGTACACTGTGACAGATGTTGATCTGACACTGGTGTACTGTGACAGATGTTGATTGGACACTAGTACACTGTGACAGATGTTTTGTGTACTGGTACAGATGTTGATGTGACACTGGTGTACTGTGACAGATGTTGATTGGACACTAGTACACTGTGACAGATGTTTTGTGTACTGGTACAGATGTTGATGTGACACTGGTGT